ATTCACCCACATATTTTATGAAGTATTGGCCATATCATATCTTATACAACTTATCATATCCAAATACATTTTGCTTAGTTACAATTTCTGCCAAAATCATCTTTTTCCATGTTTTTAAATCATATCATATTTATATGTTTATTTATATGAACATCCTCATTTGCCCTCAAATTCTAATTTCTCTATTTTTACTCATATTTATTCCTTTTTACTTTTTAATAATTCATTCTTTATCCTAATACATTTACACATGTTCGGGGTTGCCTTTCTTTCATTTCATCTTTTTTAGACCAGAACATTTTCATTTGTGAGGATTTGAATTAGGAATTAGCGGATCAGAGCAACATCATTTAAATACATACATAATCTGGGAAGTGCTGAAACGGAAACTTTTACTCTTCAAAGAATAAAAGCTCTGCCCTGCTCTGTCCTACTGAAACTATGCTGAGATTTTTAAAAAATTATTAAAACTATTTTTTAAAAAATATTTCTACATATTTTTTTAAAAAAATGGAATCAGCTATCTACCATCAGCTATCTTGCAAAATTTAGAAAGTAAACACAATTATTATCAAACCTGCTACTGATTACTTCAAGGGAAGGGTTTTGTTTTCCTAGCTAGTTACCATCTCTCTGTTACCCTTTGACAATAGAATGTCAGCATTTGCTTCCAAATCTCTGACTGAATTCTTTCTAATCAAGGTTTGCTTCAGTACAAAATTTTTCAACTATGTTGGACTGCAGAAACTTTTTTTTAAAAAAAATCCACAAAGCCCCTGACTGAGAGACAAAGATGCTGAGATAGACAACTGGTTGCATTTCACCATGGCTTTTCTCTCTTGGTCTTTCATAGAACCCCTTCAAGTTCCTGTGGAGCCCAAGGACTCTGCAGAACACATTTTGTAGGCTATTCAAGAGAGGGTTTCCCCCTCTCTTGAATAGCCTACAAAGCGAGGCTATTCCCCTTTCTTGCCTTTGCACACAATTGTTTGAGCTACTGAAGGGAACACAGAAAGATCTGTGTTGTTCTCACAGTTAAATAATTACTATATTAAATTTCATCTCTGTGATTATTTTTTTTACTTGTCCAGATGTTAGGGTCTAAAGAAGAATCTTTAGTGTCTAAAGAAGAATCGGTAACTTGGACGTGAAGGCAATACCAATTCGTCTACAATTATTTCCCAGCTACTAGCTCCTGTCTCAATGCTGTGCACAAACCTATTGCTTTTTAATCATTAAACCTATTGTTTAATGAGATCATAATCACGCCAGCAATGATATTTCCTGCAACACTCAATGGGAGAGAAAGTTGGACCATGAAAAAGAAGAATAGCAAGAGTGTTGATGCTTTTGAACCCTGGTATTAGAGAAGAAAGGGACACGGTGGTTCAGTGGCTAAGATGCTGAGCTTGTCAATCGAAAAGTCGGCAGTTCAGCGGTTCGAATCCCTAGTGCCGCCTAACGGGGTGAGCTCCCATTACTTGTCCCAACTTCTGCCAACCTAGCAGTTCGAAAACACAGAAAATGCAAGTAGAAAAATAGGGACCACCTTTGGTGGGAAAGTAACAGTGTTCCATGCGCCTTTAGCATTTAGTCATGTCAGCCACATGACGACAGAGATGTCTTCGGACAGCGCTGGCTCTTCGGCTTTGAAATGGAGATGAGCATTGCCCCCTAGAGTCAGGAACGACTAGCACATATGCGCGAGGGGAACCTTTACCTATACCTTATTAGAGAAGATTCTTAAGAATATCACGGACAGCCAAGAAAATGAACAAATAGATCATAAACCAATCGTCCCAAAATTCTCACCAGAGGCACAAATGACCAAGCTCAAAATTATCCTACTTCAGACACATTATGTGAAAAACCAGCTCTCTGGAGAGGACTCTAATAGTAGGAAAGGTGGAAGAAAGAGTAATAGAGGACAACCAGCAACAAGGTAAACAGACCAGATTACAGCAGATCTAAAAGACCAGATATGCTGGTGGAGGTGGGGGGGAATCTATGGGATTGTTAAGAATCAAAACCAACTTGATGACATATAATCTATCAATATTGTTTAATTGTACTGTAAGACATTCTTGTAGCTTTATGACAAGTGGATTATAAATATTAGAACAATTAAGATAAATCAATTTATTGCATAGGGCCACTATAATTTTACAACTATTTGCAGTTTCTCCCCTTAAAGACTAGCATCACCAGAGAAAATTCATTCACTTTTCTTCCTGATTCCAGAATAAGAAGACTGCAAACAGATAAATGATGTTTTGATCGAATATGTGGTCCAGGTGCTAACTATCAATAAATAATTTCAAAGTCTCTACACTTTTTCTCTTGTAACTTTAAAATAAAAGCATAACGCATAAGGAAAGGGGGCTGGATAAGATGGGGGGAGAGCTTTGGAGCCAACTGGGATGAGAAAAGACAAGACAGCAAGATGGGTAATAAGACAGCAAGGGATAATTAACATGGAAGAGCTTCACCTGTCTTCATTGTCCTTATGTTCTGCACCTTGCTGGAAATGGCCACCACTAGATGGCAGCTGAAATAAGATTATCAACAGCTGAATCTTAACCAAAGGGATGGAATAGTCTTGTTTCTCTCTTAGAAATGTGAATACTGGGAGAATTAACAGCTGCGGATCTTCTAGGACGAGTAATGAAAGAGCTCTCTTTCTCTTCTGCTGTTCTCTAAGCTGATGGAACAGGCTTATTTGCATAAAATTTTAAAAAGTATATCCTGTATGCTAAATTATGCATGTTTTAATCCTAGTGGGTATTTCTCCATGATCCACTGTCTGTTATCTCCATAGCTCTCTGTAGAAGTGTTTTTTAATAGATGCTTCAATTATGAGTGAAAAGCAGCCGGAATTCCAAAGTGGGCCCATCTTAGAAAAGGCATATGTTAATCTAATATATGACTATGGCTAAATGTCTAAAGTATTACATCAGGTCCCTCTATCTATAGAAGCATGTCTAACATGAAAACGTATGCTCATTCCTTGGTTTCTTTTCAATTCCTTCTGCATCTATGGAGCTGATATTACCCTGCAGCACATAGCTGTTTTAAAACCCACAAATAATCTTTATTTGCATTTGTAAAGCAAATGAGAAGTGTCCACCCATCAGCAAGGCAGCAGAAGTCCATCTAATATGGCAAAAAGAAACCAAGATGATGGTAGTTCTTTTTGTGCCTTCTTTTGGTATAGTTGAAGCAAAAGAAAACCAACAAATTAAACAAAAGCTGATACCTCAGGCCAAAAGACCAGATCCAGATCTATGCCTAGAATTGAACAAAATCATGGTTAAATTTCAAATTTCAGGTCTGGGATAGCCAATGCTTAAATCCAGTAAAAACACATGCACACCCATTTGTAAAAAATTAAATTATCACCAATTAAGAAAATAGTTATTCAAGATGCCTGGAGCTAAGAAGAGACAGTTCCATGTATTGGATCTGTTTATATTTACCTCAACTCCAGCAGCAAGTTGGCTATCCTTTCATATTTTTTTTCCCTGTGAAAAGACTATGCAAGTAGGATAGGCTAAGAGGAGTGGTGGCAAGATAATCAATGAACTGTGGTACATAATTTAGTTGGAATGTGAACATGAGCTTCCTTAGTCTTTGTCCAAAACTTTAATTTCTTCATTTTATGGACTTTCTTTTCATCTCACAACTTAGAGAAGCATTTAAAAAGTAGAGAACATAAACCAATGGGAGCTTGACATTAATTTTCGTTTCTATGCAAACAATCAATTTATGGAACAGGGAACAATGTTGATTGTTTTCCAAACTCTTTGCTACAGATGCATGATTCACTCCCAAATTTTCCTAGCCAACATTATGTCTGTGAAATATTTTTGTCTACTTGTTCAGGTTCCTTCTGTTTGTTGTTGCTGTTTTTAACTTAAAGGAGCTGAGCATGAACACCTTCCTGCAGTACAGAATACTGTTGCTTAGTGTCCCAAGAAGAAAGGAATAACAAATTGGCTAGATGGTTTCATGTCTGTGATGTCCTTAGTTCTGCCATAATAACCTATCAGTTTCACGTCAATGGAGACTTCCCTTTTGTTTGACTAGTTTCAGTGGACTCCATTGTTTCTGTCAAGTATTTGCAAGCCATTGGCACATGTGTCATATAGACGCCAGTGGAGGCAGAGAGTGTCTCCACCCCTATGTGGAAAGGAGGGGCTTACCCTGAGTATAAAACCCCCTCCAACCTTTTCCACCTTGCTCTCTCTCTATCTCTCTCTTCATGTTTGTTCCTCATGAGACTTGATCTCTGTTGTACATAGTTAATATGATTTATTATATGAATAAATACGTTTAAGACATTTATTTATGCATCTGCCTCTGAACTCTTCTATGCTCCTGGGTGTTTCTATGATCCCAATTCCACAGTTTCAGAGGGGTAGCTCAATCAGACTTACAAAGCCTCAGATGGATAGTATGACCAGTGCCCTAGCTTCAGCATCACAGTTTTCTGAACAGAAAATACTGGATACTACAGTTGATGGGAGAATGTCAAATACCGTGCAGGTTCTTATTACGCTATCTTTTATGGATCTTGAATGAGAGCCTGAATGAGATAGACACCTCCTGGGGTGATGGACCACAAGTGCTCCATAAAGTCTCATGTTCTCTTCCCAGTTGTTGGAATTGGCCCTGTCCACTTCTGCCATCACCCCCATACTTCCCTTCCCCCATGCCTTGGTTAGTTGCCCCAAAAGCAAAAGGACAAGGGATCACTTTGACTGGTCTTCTTGAATGTCTCCTTCTCATCATGCAGCTATGAAATCAGAGGGAAAGGGACATCCTTTGCCGGAGGATATATGTTTGGAGTAATAAATAAAATGTTTGGAGATGTATTTTTGCTCTACCCTTAGAAAAAAAATAAAGGGGCGGGGATTTGAGAGTAGAATTTCTTTCACTGCGTCCTTTTTTCTCTTCAGATACTGAACAGTTCCCAATAGGGAAAGAAGAGAAAAGACTCCTAAAACATGGCTCCGCTAGCACACTAAATACGAATTACAGCAAAGCGTTTGGAGAAAGCCCCAGCGCTAGGGAGGCTTCCAACAGTCCGGCTAGGATTGACTACAACTCCCAGCGTTCCTCGCGGGGCGTTTGTCCCGCTCAGAGCGCTACCTGTTCGCCTTTCCAAAGCCGCTTTGGCAGGCAAGGCAGTGGGTGTTTAGCTAGCCAAGCGACCGACTGGAGCTCCATCGGACGAGGAAGAACCGTTGCTGCTACTTGCTTACCCGCCTGCTTGGCAACTTTGGCTTCCCTTTGAACAAGAGCTTTCGAAACAAACTGCAAAGGGAAGGCAAGAGGACTGGAAAAGAGGCGAAGGAAGAAGTGGGGGAAAGAAGCGGCGAGAAGAAAGGGGAAGTGGCCCAAGGGAGATGAGGCATCTCTGGAGGGTGGGATCCTGCCTCTTGCTGTCCTCAGAGGCGTCTAGAAATCTGGATCTCCGGGTCGGTTCTTCTGGTGGATTCGAGCCATGGAGATCCAGCAGATCGCCCCGAAGGGTTGCGACGACCCTCCAGGGGTAGAATAGCATGGATCTCAAACCTTAGAGCCTAGTCTGGTTAGGCGGCCACCGGCAGAAGTCTGGAGGATCTTTCTGAAGCAGAGAGAGGAAATCGGTTGTGTAGGTTTTGGGAGCCTCCGAGGCGCCTGAAGAGCCCCGCAACTTGTATGGCTGACGGTGGGAGAGCGGCTGGGAGAGGAGCGCCTAGCATCAGTGGAGGGGGAGGTGGCTGAGGTGGGAAGGCAGAGAGGGAGAAGGGGGTTTCTCCTAACGTGCCGGGCATTTGGCTCTCCAGTGATGTGGAGACTGAGTGTTTGGTGGCTCCTGAGCAGAGTCTGTCTGCTGTTCCCGCCGCCCTGCGCCCTCGTGTTGGCCGGGGTGCCCCTCTCTTCTTGCCACCCGCAGCCTTGCCGGATCCTCAAACGGATCGGGCACACGGTAAGGATCGGGGCGGCGCACCTGCAGCCTTGGGCTACCTCCCAAGGTGGGGCAGGAGGCTGGAGAGCTCACAATGACATCCCGCTTCGAAGCCACTCTGCCGGGGAAGAATCTGGGTGGCAGGACCCCGGGACTCCAGAGAGATGGAGAACGGGGACCAGTGTGAGAAGAAGAGCGCACCTGGGCACTGAGAACCTGATCGACAAAGAGAGTCCGGACCAGGCGCCACAACTGCCTCTAATACCGAGGGAGGCGCTCCTGTTGGCGGTGGAGAACCTCAACCGCGTCAAGGGGCTTCTGCCTTACAACCTTTCCCTGGAAGTGGTGATGGCTATCGAGGCGGGCCTGGGCGATCTACCTCTTTTCCCCTTTTCTTCGCCCAGCGCCTCCTCCTGGAGCAACGACCCGGTCTCCTTCTTGCAGAGCATCTGCCACACTGTGGTGGTACAAGGGGTCTCGGCCATTCTTGCCTTTCCGCAGAGCAGAAGCGAGATCTTACAGATGGACTTCGTGGCCACCGCTTTGCACATTCCAGTGATCAGCATCGTACTCAATGAGTTTCCTCGAAAGAGTCAGGTAAGGGACGGCGGGAGATCAGGACGGGAAGAGGGGGAGAGAGAAAGAGAGACCTGGGGTCTTGCCTCTGTGAATGTGCGCGGAGAAGTGGCGGCAGGGAGAGGACCCACGCTCCCGGAACCGCGATAAATATTTAAGATCTTCAGCAGGGATGCCGGGAGGGGGGCGGTTCCTATGTAAGAGTTCGGGCGAGTTGCCTTTACTTTACAAAGCTGATTTGGGAATTCAGAACCATGGACAGCGTAACGCTCCCCAGGCAGCCAATTCTGGTGCTGCAGCGGGACAGAAACGAGTCCAACATTCTCTCATCGATCCCACGCAACCACCCTTTCGGTTAACGCTGCTCGTGCTGTATTGCTTGCGTTGCTGAATGTTTACTTGGACTGGGTTTTTTTCCCCCTCTCTCCGAGTTAAAAAGGTAGTCTTGGCTCTACCAGGTAAAGTTGCTGGAGATCTAAAACGGCGTTTGTGCTCAGACTGTTTCCACCGCATAACAGAAATAGGGATGGGTGTATATGCACGTTTGCCTCTCTCTCTCTCTCTCTCTCTTTCTCTCTCTCTCTCTCTCTCTCTGTGTGTCTGTGTGTGTGTGTGTGTGTGTGTGTGTGTGTTCAACCCTAATTAACTCTGAATTCGGAGATTTTGCTTGTTCTCGGAGAATTCAGATGGAGAGCCATCCAATTCAAATAAATTAAACATACTTTTCTTTTGTTGTGCAAATATCGTGGATGATTGCAAAATAGATTAAACATCTCAAACTGGCTTTGTTTTCCTGGTTCCATGTCTCCAAGATCATTTAATGTACTGATAAAGGAAAGACACTATATTCCAGCAGAGAGAGAGAGACAGAGAGGGAGGGAGAGAGAGGGGGAAGAGAGGGGAGGATTCATTCCTTGGTTTGTGTATAAACCACATAAAATGATTATCTATCTATCTATCTATCTATCTATCTATCTATCTATCTATCTATCTATCTAATTTATATAGCCACTCATCTCTCAGGCAAGTGACTCTGGGCAGTGTACAACAAAACTAAAACATTATATTTGAGATGCTTGGCTATTAATCACTGTTAATAATAGAAGCAAGAATTCACATTTTCAACATTACTTCTGCATATTCAAGTCACTGCACAAGTCTTAACTGAGCAACTTCAAATATCTGTTTAAAAAGAAACATTTCCTGTGCCTTCACTTTATATTTAGAGTCTAGGATCAATCTCCAGAGATTAGTGATTTGACCGCTAGGTTTTGAGAAAAGGCAATGTTATACAAATTAGCAGCTTATTATAACCTGTGAAAACTTTAGTTTCTCTCTTCCTTAAACCCAATTTGCATCATTTTCTTACAACTAAAAAGTCAGTTCAAAGTTTGAAAAGACTTTCCTTTCTTCTCCAGTGCGAAGAATTGAAGAATTGGGAAGATTAAGATTACAAGCCTGACTATTTACTTTGGAACAATCCTTATTTAACTCAGTGGGATTTACTTCCACTTATAAAGATAAATAAGATTTGGATGATATAATAAATTGTAATGTACATATGCATGGAGCGAGGGAATATGAGAATGTATCAAGAATAACATCATAAATATATTGACAATCAAGTCCTATGCAATACAGAGATTGTAAGGTTGCTGTAAAACTGTAAAACATGTATAATTATGATATCATAGAATTACACATCTCTAAATTTTAAACATTTTATAGAGAGCAAGAAAAACCAACATCTTCTAAGGCAATATGTTCCATTACAGTCTCTACTTTCATTCATTGAAGAATGTGTGTATGTAATTTTAATCCTTTAATTCAAGTCCTACACTCAGAAACATTAGAATATGTGATTGTCCTTAATTTTAAAAATGGTCTCTTCCTCTTCCTCTGCATCCAGGTTCTTCCTCTACTTTCATAGGATTTGGTCTTTACATTATTTTTATTGCCTTTCTTCAAAGAGCCTTGGTAGTACAGTGGTTTAATGCACCCTGTTATTAACACAGCTGCCTGCAATTTCTGCAGGTTCGAATCTTACCAGGCTCAAGGTTGACTCAGCCTTCCATCCTTTCTAAGGTAGGTTAAATGAGGACCCAGTTTGTGGGGGCAATAAGCTGACTTTGTATAAAATATACAAAAGTATGAAGGCTATTGCTTAACGCATTGTAAGCCGCCCTGAGTCTTCGGAGAAGGGCGGCATATAAATCAAATTAAAAAAAAACATATTTCAGTATGTCAATAACCTTTTTCAAATGTATTGCCTAAAATTGGACAAAAAATTTCTAGTGTGACCAGATTAAAGCAGAACAAAATTGGAGCACTCTTTCTCCTAATCTAAAGAATGCACAGTATTTCTAGATTGGAAATGAAAATTGCATCAACACATTTATTTATTCGTTTCATATTCCACACATCATCACTGATTCATATTTAGCTTCTCCTCTACTCACTTCTCTAGTTTCTTTGCAGACACAGTGCTTCTGAATTCACTAAATTACATTGGGTACTTAAGAGTAAACACTGAAATTTACATTTAAGTCTAAAAATGTAGGTTCTAAGTGTTAACCTAATGCTCCAAAGCATGTGACATGATGGTTAAAGTCATGAATTCAGAGCCGAAAATCCCAGATTCAAGCTTAATGATTTGACTTAATCATCAAACTGGGTTATTTGGGGCCAGGCATTATCTTTTCCTCTACCCTCAAAGAGTCATTTATCAAAGATAAAATAAAGGGAGATCCCTTATGTCTAACCTGGAGTTTTCTGGAGTGGGGGGAGATAGGATGCAATTGTAAAAGTTAGTTTTATTTTTTAAGTTCAAATTATACTTCTGTGTTTTAAAATGATAGCCAGCTCTTCTAAAATGCAGAACCTATTTATTCCTTTAGTCAACATGTCAGAGGGCAGTGAAAGTAGGAACTTTCTTCTAAATGTAATCTTCAGTTTGACAACTCTATGGATTTTAGCATTTTTGCAAAGTAATGTTTAAGAAATTATCTCCTTTTTACTAAAAAGTGACACTTTTAATGTACATCAAAAACATAGGTTTTAGGAATATTACACTTTAAATTGCATTGGAAAGACTCTTAACGCTCCTCACACAAATGTCACAGATGCTACTTCTTGCTTGCTGTGATGGGGAAGTTCACTAAATGCAGAATGATTTTTAGATGGACAGGGAGTTTACGTGAAAAGCACTGTTAAACCAGGTAGCTTTGGATTCTGTCAACTCAATGTTATTTATTCCATAGACAAGCTGAATTTATTTAATTTCATTCATGTATTTATTGCTACGGTAGATTTATAGCCTGGGTCTCCTTGGCCCTAGCACCTTTGCTATTACACCACTCTGATCTCCAGGGTAATTACTACTAGAAATTAGCCTGTCATGTAAGTATCCAGCTATGTCATCTTTTAGTTTCTATGAGGTGCTCATGTTTCAATCCAACCATAGCCATAGCAATCTGCATTAGCTCTGTTCTTGGGTGTTGTGCTAGCGTATCTTCTCCTACAAGAGCGGCTCTTTATACTATGGAGTTCTAATCAAGGAACATAGCTCACAAGACAAGAGTAGGGCTACAAGAGGTGCTCAAAATGGTGGAAAAGCATCAAGGAAGCCAACATCAAATCCATGCCTCTGAAATACAGGCAGTAGCATACAATTAGAAGAACATACTTGTGTAGGAATACTCAAGCAACAATCTGAGAATCTAAAGTCCAAGTAAGAAAGTTTGGGCACATACTGCATACACCTTTCTTTTTAAAGACTAGGAAAAGTTATAGCCAACATTCTACCCAACATTTGACGGCCTTTTGCCCAAAGCTGTTCATGCATAAATAACAGAGGATTCTATACAAGCTTAGTCCAGGCTTGAAAACTCAATAATGGTTCCATTCTTATAGACTAGGAGTTGTGGGTTATGTTCAAGAATTGGTGCTGGGATACATGTCCCTGGCTAGTTCTGGGATATCAAGAGAAAGGCCCCTTCTTTCCATAAGCTGGTCAATCAGTCTTTCTTCCTCCTTTTAGTCGGATGAGGAGGAAGTTAGTAGTCTTCCAAAGATGGTTGGACTGCAAGTAGCTCCATCAACATAGATTGCGAAAAATGGTGTTGGGAATGAATGACCACAAATATCCCACACGTGATTTCTGTTAGCAACCAGCTGAACTTCTTCCCAATGGCAACCATGCCACTCAAAGTATCTATAGGTATATTTGTATATTTGCAATGTATTGTTACATCCCCATTATACTACAGGTAGTCCTCGTCTTACAACTGTTCGTTTAGTGTCCTTTCAAAGTTATGACAGCATTGTAAAATGTGATTTATGACCATTTTTCACAGTTACGACCTATGCAGCATCCCCACAGTCATGTGATCAAAATTCAGCCGCTTAGCCACCGGCTCATATTTATGACAGTTGCAGTGTCCCGGGGTCATGTCCCCTTTTGCGACCTTCTGACAAGCAAAGTCAAGGGGGAAGTCAGATTCACTTATCAACCATGTTACTAACTTAACAACTGCAGTGATTCACTTAACCACTGTGGCAAGAAAGGACGTAAAATGGAGCAAAACTCACTTAACAAATATCTCACTTAGCAACACAAATTTTGGCATTAATTGTGGTCATACATCGAGGACTACCTGTATGTACTTTTAACCTTGGCAATGGGGCCACATTTCGACTATAGCAGGGGTCAGCAACCTACGGCTCTGGAGCCGCATGTGGCTCTTTCACCCCTCTGCTGCGGCTCCCTGTCACTCAAAATATGCATCACAACCGCCAATGTGTGACACCCACTAGCACACAATTTATTGAGCTTTTCAACCCCTGGTAGGCCAGCCATGGATAAATCCAAGATAAGAAAAGTTTCAGAAGAAAACAGAACGTTTAATTCAACTACATATGCTAGTTTTGTGGCTGCTCAAGAAATAATCAGGCACAGGAAGGTTTTTGTGGCTCCCAGTGTTTTCTTTTCTGTGGGAAACTGGTCCAAATGGCTCTTTGAG